AGTTAGTCTTTTCTGTTTATCCTAAACAGATGGGATCCATGTGCACATGCTTATTTTGATACGTTAATGCATAATAAATTTCACACTGTGAAATATCTTTATATTTAGTCTTTTCTTTTAATTTCATCATTGACAGTTTCCTAAAAATAGAGTTAAAATATCACCTCATTTTGTTCTTATGAACCCATTATCATGCATTGTCTCATCTCATGAGCTAAGGTTATTGTCACACCCTTCCTGATCATGGAAAGAAGAGGTGGATATCACCAGAGTGGAGCAGTGAGAATTTCCACCCCTCACTCATGGAGCTGTTTGCCCGCTCCACTCCCCGGATCAAAGCCGCACCAGACCATTCCGCTCATTATCGCTCACACTCATCTCAAATTGCATCCACTCACTCCAAAAAAAGGGAACAAAATCTGCTTGTATTTCACTTTTAGCGTAAACTGTACCTTACATCCCAAAGAACTAAAGAAAAAATGATTTTTTTCAAATAACAGGCCTGTGTAACAAAGAATATAACACAAAAAGTCATGTAAAATCATAAATAATACAAATATGCAAAACAAATCAATGGGCCTAATTAAAGAAAAATAGACAGTACATTTGCATGGCCTTTCAACTTCCAAACTATTATGGAGCTTGCAATGGCCGATGTTAGACTGAAAAGTGGTGAATGACTGTGCCAGACACAGATGCACCCAAAATTGCAGCAGGACATAGGGCGCTGCTCCCTCCTTTTTAACAAAAAAACCAAAAAAAAAACTAAACAAACCTGCGCTCTGTCAAAAATTGTCCCACTCCCGCTTGCTCGCACTGTGCTCACATGTTCTGGTGTCTACTGACCTTCTAACTCTTTGAAAATGCTGATGATTACACAAAACTAGACTGATTTTTATACCTCTGATTAAAACCTGTTTTGGCCAGTTTCTGTGCCAAAGTTTAACTGAAAATAAAGCTCAAATGTGATGAATCATTGTAACTTACTTTGCATTTTGTAGTCAAAGGTGAGCTCCTCTCCAGCCCGAATAGCCCGTGTTGAAAATAAAGCGATTCTAGGGAGCCTTTCATCGATGTTGTCGATGAATACATTGAATACCTGCAGGTTGGGGTTACACTGCAAAGAAAACACATGTCATAAGGTTTTCTTTTAAACTTTAATCACGCTTTAAATAAGAAACAACAAAAGAAACTGCAGCTCCCTATAGACACAGAGTGGACAGTAGATAAGGTTGCCACAGCTAAGGAATTAAATGAACTTGTTTCACGTGATATGAAGACAATTCTACTTATCTTAACAAACAAAAAATACATAATACATGCCTGGGACCTTGCAGGGTCCACTATGCTGCATGAATGCGAGCTGTTTCAGACTGCACAGTGTAGTCATTAATTTTAGTGATTTAAAAATAAAATTGGAATTTGATAATATTTTATCTATTTTGAACCCAGCATGGCAGCATGGTGGCGTGGTGGTTAGTGCTGTTGCCTCACAGCGAGAAGGTTCTGGGTTTGAGCCCCGGCTGACCCAGGGCCTTTCTGTGTGGAGTTTGCATGTTCTCCCTGTGCTTGCGTGGGTTCTCTATGGGTACTCCAGCTTCCTCCCACAGTCCAAAGACTCCTTGGTATCTCTATATTGCCCATAGGAGTGATTGTGTGAGTGGTTGTACGTCTGTGTGTTAGCCCTGTGATGGACTGGCGACCTGTCCAGGGTGTACCCTGCCTCTTGCCCGCAGCTGGCTGGGATTGACTCTGTGACCCCGTTTGGGACTAAGCGGTTTAGAAAATGGATGGATGAACCCAGCATAAAATTTGTCATGGAATTTAGTTAGAGATCAATTTGAATTGTATGAAAGAGGCAGACTAAAGCATTTCCAACTCAGAACATTCAAATTTCACTGTCAACAGTTCTGAATTTGTTTATCACATAGCTGCAGACCTGCTCACATGATTGGATAAAAAGCAGCAACTGAAGGACCCATATAGCTCTGCTGAGTTGGTCATGCTGCACCAGTTTTTCTTTTTTATCTCATCAAAATAAGGGTTATAATAATTCAAGGAGTTCTTGACATATCACATTATAAAGAAGAACAACACTAGGTCACAGTGACCTTTAACCTTTGACCACCAAAATCTAATCAATTCATTCTAGAATTCAAGTGGACCTTTGTGCCAAATTTGAAACAATTCCCTAAAGGCGTTCCTGAGATACCACATTCATAAGAACAGTATGGGCATGAAGTCACAATGAACTTTGACCACTAAATTTTATCAGCTCATCCTCGACTGTTCTTTAAGTTGATGTGCTGGAAGTAGGAAAAATGGGCAAGGTTCTGAGCAAATGGGAAAAGGGTCAAAATCTGATGGCTAGACAACTGGGTCAGAGAATCTCAAAAATGGCAGGTCTTCTGAGGTGTTCCCAATATGCATTAACCAATACTAGAGCTGCAGGATTTGCTTTACTATTGTGGTTGTTAGGGTCTGACAACTAAATTAATTCAGGCAAATCATCCCAATGATTATTTATTAGTACAATAATTCTAAGCAGTTCAATAATTTGAAAGGCAGGCAGTTCAACAATCTGAAAGATAGGGAACAGAATCATCATCTCTGCATGAAAATAAACAATAGTATTAGATATGAGAATTGTCAAAGAATCAGTCAGTCATTGTTGGCCCTACAGTATAGTCAAAGTCCAGAGTTGGGCTGGTCCCCTCCCGGCAGGGTTCTTGCTCTCTTCGTTCAGTCTATCTTCTGTCTGTCTGTTCCCCTTTCTCTCTGAGTCGCTAGTTTTTTATGCCCCTCATAATCTTCACAGTTCTTTCTGTCCCTTACGTCATTTTTTATACCCAACTGTTATGCTTCCATTTAAGGGAAGCTGCTCTCTGGATGTTTATTCACAAGATGAACCCATAAATTAAACAAGGGGGACATGAACGAGAATGTTCTTGCCTGAGCAGGCTATCAGTGCATAGTTCACATGGTCTCCATGCACCAACATCTACAAACATTTCAAAGAGAAACAGATGTTACAGGATTATATAAACGCTTACCCACCCTTACATAACTATCAGGTATTACCTATTGCAAATAGTATCTATATGTAATCTACACACTCCTACTATATTCTATTACTTACATTTTAACTGGTAACTTGTTTGTTTTTAACCACTACACTATAAAGCTATACAGTAGGTATTGTAGTGGTTAAAAACAAACAAGTTACCAGTTAAAATGTAATATGCCAAAGAGTACAGGCCTTAGGCTGAGCTGAACAATGCTTACATAATTTGGCAGGCTTTGACCTTTTTTGTCCTGAGAACGGTGTGTGTGGAAACGAGAAGTTTAGGGAGGCGACCAATCTGTTTCCTGTTTTTGAGCACATTTCAGAGGGTGTTTCCTCATAAAAGAGAAGACAGGAAGCTCAGTTCAGGAATTGACGTAAGAGCCAAAAACGAGCTGTGAACATAAAGAGGTAGATTGAGTGGTGCAGTATGCTGTGGTAGTGGAGTGAGTGTGCGTTTGGAAGACCGACGGAAGAGCACCAGCTGCGAGGGCACAGACCCAATTCTGGACTGACTGTGCTGTATGACCAAAAATGACTGACTGACTCTTTGACAATTCTCTTATCTAATACTTTTATTTATTTCTCTGCAGAGATGGTGATTCCATCCCCTATCTTTTAGACTATTGAACTGCCTTCCAAATTACTGAACTGCTTAGTATTATTGTAATAATAAATGATCATTGGAATTGGAATGATTTGCCTGAATTAATTTGTCACATCAGACATTGGCCACCATAGTATAGAAAAGAATCACTCCCTTCCAAAACAATTGCATTTAGTTTTACACACTCAAATGAAGAAAACTAAGAAACAATGGAAAAATTGAATTTTTTGCTGTTTTATTTACAGCTTACAACATACAAGTAAAAAAAAACAAAAAAAAAAAACACTAGTTCTAAAAAATTATATGAAATAAAAACTGGAATAACTATTTGGAAAAGGATAACCACCCTGCATTAATTACATCCTTGAGTCTGTTTGGATATTTCTCTACCAATGTTGCACAATGAGACTGAGCAATATTTGCCCACTCTTCCTACATTAAAGCATGGAGGTAGTAACATCCTGTTGTGGGAATGTTGGTTGTGTCTCCAACCATGACAACACCATCATTAAATACAGAAATTTCCCCATTGTGGGATCAATAAAGTCCTACCTACCTACCTAAATATGCTGATGACACCACCATTCTGGGCCTCATCAAGGGGGGAGACGAGCTGGGTTACAGAAGCTTGGTGAACGACATTCTTGTTTATGGAGAGGACAATGACCTCATCCTCAATACAAACAAGACAAAAGAAATAATAATAGACTTCAGGAAGAACCCCTCCCTTCTGCTGCCTCTGACCATCAAAGGGACTGAGGTGGAGAGGGCTGACAGTGACAAGTTCCTGGGCCTGCAGGTGATATCTGACCTGAGCTGGTCACTGAACACAGCTGTCACAGTGAAGAAAGCCCAGCAGCGGCTATACTTCATCAGGCAGCTCAGAAAAGCTGGGCTGAACCGTCACACTCTCACCCAGGCTGATAGAGGACTGTGTCACTGACTCTGACTTCCGTTATTCATCCTCACCACTGGCTGGTGAACACCACTGGTGGTATGGTAACACCACAGGCAGAGAGGAAGGCTCTTCAAAGAGTTATAAAGACTGCAGAGAGGATCACTGGGACTAAACTCCCTGCTATGGACACACTACACACACAGTGCTGTCGTAAAAGAGCAAAGAACATAATCAGAGACTCACTCCACCCAGCTCACACCCTGCTCAGACACAAAAACTGCACCTACAGCCTCAGGCACAGCAGGGCAGACAGTATCATCACACACAGAACAAGACTTTACAACAGCGTTTTCCCTGCCACAGTAAGACTGATGGCAAATACAAAAATGTGAAAAACATGTGCAATAACCCCTTATTAAAACTGTGACTCTTGCTTAAGCAATAGGAGAAAATAAAAGTTAGAATAGCTGTGGGTTAGAGAGTATGATGATGCTGCAGTAGAGAGTGTGTGTGTTTGGGAAGGACAGACGAACAGCCAGAACCCGGCAGGGAGGGGACCGCTCCGACTCTGACTGACTGTACCTTGTGACCGCAATGACCGACTGACTCTGACAAGTCTTTTATCTAATACTTTTGTTTATTTCCATGCAGAGGTGGTGATTCTATTCCCTATCTTTCAGACTGTTGAATTATCTTCCAAATTATTGAACTGTTCAGAAGTATTGCAATATTAAATTATCATTGAGATGATTTGCCTGAAATAATTTACAGGTGCAGCTCAATAAATTAGAATATCGTGGAAAAGTCTATTTATTTCGGTAATTCAACTCAAATAGTGAAACTCGCGTATTATATAAATTCAGTACACACAGGCTGAAGTAGTTTAAGCTGTTGGGTCATTTAATTGTGATGATTTTGCTCACCTTTAACAAAAACCCACCAATTCACTATCTCAATAAATTAGAATATGGTGACATGCCACTCAGCTAGTCAACTCAAAACACCTGCATAGGTGTCCTGAGCCTTCAAAATGGTCACTCAGTTTGGTTCACTAGGCTACACAATCATGGGGAAGACTGCTGATCTGACAGTTGTCCAGGAGACAATCATTGACACCCTTCACAAGGAGGGTAAGCGACAAACATTCATTGCCAAAGAAACTGGCTGTTCACAGAGTGCTATATCCAAGCATGTTAACAGTATGTTGAGTGGTACGAAAAAGATGCACAACCAACC